AAAAAAAAAAAAAAAAAAAAGACCACAATGGAGGAACTCTACCTGCTCTGTGAAGTCTGTGGGATCGTGTGTCAACATTTGTTCTCCCCACATTAAGACTGATCCCGCCCCAGGAAAGTCCATCTGAGAGGGGTGTTCTCTTCCTGGCCGCAGGCATGTGGATGAGCAGATCTGTATGCCCAGGGCCCAGTCACTGCTCCACACACCACCCAGCAGTGCATGCTGTGGGGGCTCATATGTAAGACACTTGTCAGTGTTGTAAGTTACAGTTCTAATGGAGCTTTTGCCAGTACATCTGTGGAAATTTCACTATTGATGAATGCATTCTACATTCATTCACTCTTCAAGTACTTGAGGACCTGCTGTATACCAGATAATTGAAATACTGCTGTTTATGAGATGGAGCTCCTTAACCCAAGGACCTTACAGTCTATGTTAAAGGCAAATCCAGTACTAATCAAATCATTTCACAAGTAAATTACCACAAGGCCCAGGAATGTAGCTTAGTGTAGAGTGATTGCCTAGCCTGCTTGAGCCCTGGGTTCAATATCCCACACCACAGGAGAAAAAAGAAAAAAAAATCAGACTATGATAAATGTGAGAGAAAAGCTATGGAAAGCTGTAAGAGGATGCCACTGAGCCATCCTTATGTGGTCTCTGACAGTAGGTGGGGTTTCTCCATGGAGAGACATTTGAGTAATGTTCTGAAGGATGAGCAAGCAGTGTTTAGCAAAGGCTAGGGGTGAAGGAAAGATGGTAAGAGCTGTCCAATCAGAGGTAATGGCACATGCAAAGACCCCTACGGCTGTAGAAAGCACAATGCATCTGAGGACCTGTAAGACCAATGTGGCTGTCAGAAGCAAACAGGAGAGGGGCTGAGATGAGATGAGAGGCCAAGGACTTTGGTCTGTATCCTAAGAGAAATAGGGCATCACTGGAGGTTTCTAAACAGGAGATTGACATGATATTCTATGATCACTCTAGCTACCCTGTGCAGAATGAACTGGATAAGAGCCAGAGAGGAAACGGAGACCAACATGGAGGATAGAGAAAAGGAAAAAGCGAGCAAGACTAAGCACTTGCAACCCTGTATCAGTTGGGAAGCAGAAGTAGAGACTAAAAATGAACTCTGACACTAACTGCCCAGCTTTGTCAGCTTTGCCACGTTTTCTCTGATCTTGAGCAAACTACCCAAATTGTTTCCTCCACTTCTTCCTTTATTATTTTAATGCAAACATTTTCATTGATAGTTTAGAGCTCAAACAATTCCACAGAACAGAAAAAAAATGTGTAAGGTGAGACACTGGAGCGTAAACTTGCAGCAGACAAATACTCTTCACCCTCTTTCTCTCCATCAGCACAATCTGCTCCAATCTCTTCATAATCCTTCTCTAGGGCAGCCATGTCCTCCTGGGCCTCAGAAAACTCCCCTTCCTCCATTCCCTCACCCACATACCAGTGAACAAAGGCACGCTTGGCATATATCAGATCAAACTTGTGGTCCAGGAGAGCCCAGGCTTCAGCAATGGCTGTAGTGTTGCTCAGCAAGCAGACAGCCCGCTGTACCTTGGCCAGGTCTCCGCCAGGAACCACAGTGGGAGGCTAGTAATTAACGCCCACCTTGAAGCCAGTGGGACACCAGTCCGCAAAGTGGATGCTGCGCTTAGACTTGATGGTGGCAATGGCAGCATTGACATCTTTGGGGATCACATCACCACAGTAAAGGAGGCAGCAAGCCATGCATTTACCATGGCGAGGGTCACATTTCACCATCGGGTTGGTTGGCTCAAAGCAGGCATCAGTGAGCTCTGCTACAGAAAGCTGCTCGTGGTAGGCTTTCTCAGCAGAGATGACAGGGGCCAGAGGGAAGTGAATGCGGGGATAGGGTACCAGGTTGGTCTGGAATTGTCAGACCAACATTCAGGGCTCCATCAAATCTGAGGGAAGCAGTGATGGACGACACAATTTGGCTCATAAGGTGGCTCAGGTTTCAGGTT